AGCTCCAGTCATGAGCTGCCCCACCAAACTCTGGTATTCCAGTCATGTCATAGTTCTGTGACTGTGCAAGGACTTCCAGTTCTTTCTGATTTGTTTTTAGGCTCTGCACTCATGTACAGGCACCTGAGGTTACTAGTTGATTGCCCCAATTTTTCTCAGAAAGCACCTCCTTTGTTGCCTATACCAGAGGAAGGGGCAAGAGAACAGTGAACATAAACACTGGAGACCATAAATTCTTGTAGCTGACTGAATGATAGATGCTTCTGTAATGGAATAGGGATGCTTTCATATTTGCTTCTATACAAGATGGAAGCAGCAGGCTTTTAAAAACTTAGCTGCTGAGTCCACCCATTGAGTCAAATCTTATACCCTCCTTTGGGAGGCTTATGTTAGTGCTCTCTGGGTGCATTTACATGTACCAGTTTTGTGGGGTTTTTGTCCTTTTTTTTTTTTTTTTTTAAGGCACTTTAAACCAAATTAAGGGGACATGCAAGCCCTTAATTTGTGTTTTTAAATAGTGGTTTTTTTACAGCTTTTTGTCTAAACTTTTCTTTTTTTTTTTTTTTTTTAAAAGTATCACCCTTGGGCAAAAATGGCTAAACCATTTAATATGCATGTAAACACAGTAAAGTGCATTAATGCTGTGTATGGACTGACTTGGGACTAATTCTAGGTCTAATTCTGAACTCTAAGCCTCTGGCAGACTTCAATTTGAAGACATTACTAACAGGTTGATCATGTCTTAACTGTAGTGATGTTTATCACTGTGCCACCATTAATGACTTGAACAGCCAGCCATGGAAAATTATTCTACACTGTCCAGTAACTTAGTACAGTCCCACCAGGCTTCCCTACTCACAGTTGGGCAGTTGGCATTGAGGGTTACAGGTTGTATGGATGGGACTGGGGGGAGGGGGTGTTGCTTTCTAAGGAACAATATATACATCCTCTGTAATCAAGATGAGATCAGAGGAAGGTCAAACTGAGGTACTGTGGGTCAGGATACAAGGGAGTCTGGGGTGGGGGGTGCAGTGACTTGGTAGTGTGGGGGGTCTACTATAGACTGCCACACCAGGAGGATGAGCTAGACCTGGATTTCTCCAGACAGCTCTTGGAGGCTGTATGATTGAGAGGGAGATGGCTGTCCTGGGGGACCTAAACTACCCTGACATCTGCTGGGGTATCAGTTAGCCAAATCTAACCACTCATGTTGGTTCTTAACCTGCATACAGGACCTCCACCTAAAGCAGGTGTATAATCCCACTAGGGGGAACATCTTGCTGGACTTGGTGCTGGCTACAGGGGATGACCTGGTGGGGAATGTGGAGGTACAAGGTAATCTAGGGGATGCTGAATCCTAGCAGTCAATAGTTGCTATCTGGTGAAGGGTGGGTAAACAAACTAGCAGGGCTGAAGTGCTAGACTTCAGAAAGGCTAACTTCAGTGTGCTCAAGAGATTAGTTAGTGAGGTGTTTAAAGCTCAAGAGCACTGGCAAAATGGGGGTCCAGGAAGGGTGGTGGTTCCTCAAGGGAGTGATGTTAGGTGCACAGAAGGAGACTATCTCATTGCACATAAGGGGGCAAAGGGGCCAAGAAGCCCCCTTGGGCTTTCCTGGACTTCCCTGTTCCCCCCAAGGGCAAAGCAAGGGGTATACAGGCTGTGAAAACAGTGTAGCTACCAAGGAGGAGTATACCTCTCTGGCTCTCGCTTGCAGGGAATCAGTTGAGAAGGCCAAATCAGGATTAGAACTTAGGCTGGTGACAAATTAAGTACAACAAAAAGTCCTTTGGGTATAGGGAACAAAAGGAAGGTGCAGGGTAGCGTAAGACCCCCTACAGGACAAACTAGGGCACTGGTGAAGGGTGGGGACAAAGCTGAGCTCTTCAGTGAGTTCTTTGCATCTGTATTCCTAGAGACAAAGACAAATCCCCCAGTTGGACCATAGGAGGGACACCAGCCCACCAACTTAGCGCAGACTTAGTGAAGCAGGGGGATGTATTCAAATCAGCGGGCCCGGATGAACTTCCACCAAGGGTGCTGAAGGAATTGGCCAGTGTCATAGCAGAGCTGCTGGCACGGCTGTTCAAGCACTCCTGCTGCTCTGGTCCAGTCCCAGAGGACTGGAAAAAGGCCAATGCAGCTGCTATTCTCAAGAAGGGGGAGGGAGGAGCCAGGAAACAATAGGCCAGGTCATCTCACCTTTTATTGTTCGGGAAAACTCTGGAAAAGAATCATTCAGGATCACATCTGTGAGAGCCCAGCAGGAGAAATAATGCTGAAAGGAAATCATAGCAGGTAGATCCTTGCTGACTAACCTTGCTTCTTTTTATGACCAGGTCACACAGTGCTTAGACACAGGAATCGAGGTAGAGGTCCTCTATCTAGACTCTAAGAAGGCTTTCAATATGGTATCTCATTCCATTCTTGTAAATAAAGTGAGAGGCTGCAATGTAGATGATTACCCAGTCAGGTGGGTGGCAAATTGGCTTAAGGGTCACACCCGGAAAGTGGTGGTGGATGGGTTGATGTTGACCTGTAAAGATGTGGGCAGTGGAGTCCTGTGAGGCTCAGTCCTTGGATTGGTGCTATTCAGTATCTTCATCAGTGACTTGAATAAGGGTGTGGAGAGCATCTTGTCCAAGTTTGCAGATGATACCAAATTATGGGACAAGGTTAACACCCCAGAGGGTAGGGAATAGATCCAGGTGAATCTGGACAGGTTGGAGAAATGGATGGAATGAAATAAGATGCAGTTTGATAGAGACAAGTGCAAAGTGCTGTACCTGGGCAAAAAGAACCACCAACACACTTACAGGCTGGGGGATGACCTCAGCAGCAGAAAGGTATCTTGGAGTCAGGTGACTCCAAGATTAACATGAGTCGTCAACGTGACAAAGTGATCAATGAGGCTAAACACACTTTGTGCATTAGCAGATGCATAACAAACAGGTCCAGGGGCGTGCTGCATCCCCTCTATGCAGCACTAGTCAGGCTGCAGTTGGAGTACTGCATCCAGTGTTGGGTGCTGCACTTCAGAAGGGATGCAGGGAATCTTGAAGGCTCAGAGGAGGGCCACTCATATGGCCAGAGGCCTGCAAGCAAGGCCCTGTGAAGAGAGACTGAGGGACCTAGATCTCTTCAGCCTTCACAAGAGAAGGCTGAGAGTTGATCTTGTGGTTGCCTATAAATTCATCAGGGGAGAGCAGCAAGGAATCGGAGATGCTTTATTTACTAGGGCACCCCCTGGAAGAATGGCCACAAATTGATGGAGAGTAGATTTAGATTGGACATCAGGAAGAACTTCTTCATAGTAAGGGTTGCCAGGCTCCAGAATGGGCTTCTGAGGGGAGGTGGTGAAGACCCCCAAGGTGGGGGAGAGCAAGAGACTGGACAAGCACCCAGCTGGGGTTGCCTGACCCCAGCACTCTTTCCTGCCTAGGGCAGGGGGTCAGACTCAATGACCTACTGGGGTCTCTTCCAACCCTAACTCTTATGAATCTGTCTTTAAACTTGAATGTGTACTTAGTTGTGTGGCAGGGCTTGGCTTGGTTGACAGCTTACCCCAGTCCTGGGACCACACTAGAATCTTCAACCAGCTCCAGTACAGTCCCAGGCTGGGACTAACAGTAAGTTCATTGTACTAAGGTGCATGATGCTACATGTGCCATAGCAACACTACTGTAGTGTAGTGTCACTGATCACAACAGTGGTGCTGCAGCTATATTGCTGTACCAATGCACTCCCTCACTATAGCATGTTACAGCCATGTAGCAGCTAATAATATCCCATACTTCACTGTGCATCATTATTTTTGTGCCATCCCTAGTACTTCCAAAAAAAAAAACTAAATGAAGGTGCAGTAACAAAGGTGTCATAGGGTATATCTACCCTATGACACCCTATCCCTGTGGGTCCCAGTGCAGGTTCCCTTTGCACCAGCAAGCTGACTGCCAGGTGCCTTGTGAACATGGAAACATAGTCCAAACAAATAATGGCACATTTGGGATCAGATCCCAACTGTCACTAAATGAACATGCATGTTTAAGACCTGCAGTACATCTTGGAACTACTAAGCAAGACATTTGATGGAATAAATCCTATTTCTTTTCTGGCATCCAGAAGTTCCACTTAACTCCTAAAACAAATGTGTATGGAAAAAGACTAGGCATCTAAAATCTAGCATCATTCTTCCTTCTAGGAGTTGGAAAAGGCAACGGAAGTGATCTCAAAGTTCAGATAATTCTGAAAAAGCAAGTGGTATTCCAGTGTGTGTGCACTATTCAAGAAAACTGCAGGGTAACAACTTGGACCTACTTTACTAGATTGCATGTGTTATTTCCCACTCTGTTTAAAGTAAGAAACCAAATCTTTTTGGGGAGACATATGAGGGATAAAACATCTACTGTAAGAGGCATTAGGATATCCAGGAAAAGTTTCACCCTTAAGGCTGAGTATGGAGGAATACATTTTCCCAATAAACTAATAAAGCCCACTAAGTGAATTTTTTCCTAAACCAGACTAATTTCCTAACCAGATTAGGAACATCAAAACCATAGCTGTCTGTCTCTTGCCCGTCTTTTGCCTTGTTCATCAGGCTGTTAGCTCATGACAATACCCACTTATTTGCACTATAACCTAGTTGAATGTGCAACTGATGCATTGTATGCACTTCTAGTTTTGGTAGTTGAAAACATGCCTTGACTACTTCTGTCTTGTTTCAGTTATTTTTTGATGCTGAAAGAGACTTTGTAGCAATTGGTTTAGAAGGCTGCCCTGTCATAAGTGGTGACGTAAAAATTCGATTTGAATCCCGTTCTGTAAGTATACAGGGGTTGCTTTTTATCTCCTATAGCTGTTTGACCATTAGAAACTTTAGACGTGCACATTCTAGCAAATAATGCAGGATACTAAAAAGCTACCACTGAAAAGAGCAGAGCTGGGGTTGCTCTTCTGCAGCTGCAGAAACTACTTCTGAATCGAGACCAGAGCATGTTTCTACTTTCTCTGAAGGTGGACTGTTCAATAACATACCCAAGTAGTGGAGTACATGTACTTAAAGAAACTTTGTAGTCTTGCCTCCACTTTCTTGAGTACTAGAAATGCTGCAAGTAACTCTTGGATTGCATTATAGACCTTGGTCAATGAAACAGGAGCTATGTTGAATGGGGCACTTACTATGATCTGAATAAAACACATGCTAAGCACTATGCTATGTTAAGTTGGGATATGTTCTGAGTAGTTGCACAGTATGCAGGCTGGGAAAACTGTAGTAAGCACTGCTTTGTTGGTAGCTCCAGAAAGCAGGTCTCAGCCAGGGGCACAGGGAGCTGAGGACTAAAGAGGGTGCTGTCCCTGCTGCCAGATCTTGTCAGTGGCCTGGGACCAGAGGCAGTTTAAGACTTGGGTGTGGTCCCAGTGCTGGGACTGACAGTCTGGTGATTTACTGACTTCTTTCTAGTCCTTTCCCAAAAATTACTTCAGATACAATCCTTCTGATGGACTGCTGCTCACTGAACATAACTTTCTGGGTGGAGTGGTCCTAAATTATGCTACCCCATGCTTTGAACAAGTGGAAACTGTCCTGGTAATAACTCTTTAAGACTAAAACTCTGCAAGAAAATATCCTAAATGTAATCTTGTTTCTTCCAGGATCTTCCAAAAGGCTATGATGATTGCCCATTCTTCTTCTGGTTTAACACTTCCTTTATAGAAAATAACAGGTACAATAAAACAACAGCATGTGCTTCACCATAGCTTTGTTTTGGTGCATGAGGGACCATTTTGCAAGGGCAGATGCAGCACAGAAGTATTTCAATAATGGTGCTGCCTCATGCTTCTAGTGAGGGGAACTGTTGTTTTTTTTTTTTTGTTTTTTTTTTTTTGTTTTTTTTTTTTTGTTTTTTTTTTTTTGTTTTTTTTTTTTTGTTTTTTTTTTTTTGTTTTTTTTTTTTTGTTTTTTTTTTTTTGTTTGTTTGTTTTTTTTGCTGCTGCCTCCTTCACTGCTGCAGCTGTTTAGCAATAGAAAATTGGTATATTCCTGTCAAGACTCTAGTCCAGATGAACAGAACATGCCTCTTGCCTGTGAGACTGCTCTCATCCTGGTGTTCTGCATGGATTTTTTTTTTTTATAATCTTGTCCGTGCTGTTACAGAGTACAAATGATGTTTGCAGTACCATGTAGCTGGGTTGTCTGAACATCCCTGCTTCTCCAGTCCTGGGGAGGGAGGGGGTATTTTTTTTGTTGCTGTTTTAAAGCAGGCTGGATTTTAAATGCCACTTCAAGTGTTCTTGCAGAAACAGGACTGATAACTTTTTTTTTTTTTAAGCCTGTTTGCTGAATGTAATATGGATGAGGGAAGAACTGAAGAGTTCACCCTCTTAAATTCTGTCTTCCAGGCTTTACCTTCCTAGAAATGAGTTGGATAACCCTCACAAGGCCAAAGTGTGGAAGATCTACAGAGAGGAGTTTGCTGTGGAGTTGAACTTTGTTGAACCATAGCAGGAAGATGTTGGCACTTGCTTAAGTTTTGTTTCCTTCAATCATGTTTTAGTCTCTTCCAATAAGGTGGCATCTTCTGAGACCTGTATCTTGGTACATTTTGTATATTGACACATCTCAAATAAACCTTGAAACAAGAAAACTTCTTTGTATAGATCTTATACAGCTGCTTGCTTTTGACAGTCCCTAAAGTTTGGTGGTTTTTAATATTAAAACTACTTTGTATTGATCCATATTTATCCTGTGTCCAGTGGATCTCCCTGTTTTTAAAAAAACAAACAAACCCTTGCTTGGAGACAGGGAGAGAACCCAGCATGCATATATGTTGGCCCCATGCCTTACAAATAGGTGGGAACTTGTCTTTTCCTAATCCAGTTTTACAATCACATGCATGTATCATCTGATATTTAAGGAACTATTTAAATAGGCAAGAACTTTACAAACGTATGCATCTGGAGACTCCTTTTTTCCATTCTTTATACCCTGCTTCCATTGAGCACATCTTTCTTGCTGCTGTCAGACCCTGACTAATAATAAGCATGTTTTAGTTCTTTCCTTCCACCCCCACTTGATGGGGGCCGAGCTGAGGAATGCTTTTTGACTTCTGGCTCTTAGCTGTGTTCGTTGTTCAAAAATGCCTGTGACCACTGGTGGATGTGTGCATGTTTGTTAATTGAAAGGCTGAGGCTGGAACTAGTTCCAGTACTAGTTCAACACATTGCTCTACAGTGTAGACCTGTCCAAGTAAGGCAGCAAGTATTAACACTCTTGCACTTGTGCATACTGTGCATTCAGCAGTGAAGACTGGCAGGAAGATGCTGAATATGAAATGGTGCAAAGGCTAACTCTCTAATTTTGTCTGTAGCCTGTCTTGACTTCAAGCATTCTCACTTGGTTTTTTTTTTCCTTTGTCCTGCCTGGGCATTCATGCAGTCTGAGTTGTCAAGCCTTAATCTGACTTAAGTCTTCATTCAATCTGGCCATGATGGCATATGGTACATAATAGTACTGCAGTACTAGACCCTGGCACTAATTCTGATCCTCGTGCAGTGCTACTTGCACTTGGTACTGTGTCTCCCAAGGCAGTGGCTGGTGTAGTTCTGGGGGGCAGAACTGGGCAAACTTAACATGGGCTACCCATGCCTTAATACTAGAGGGAAAGAAGGTGGAAAACTCAGTAAAGGAAAAAAAGTGGGGGAGGAAAAGAGATTTGTAGATTGTAAGGCAGGAAGGGACCTTAAAGATCATCAGGTCCAGCCCCCTGCACCAAGCAGGAAAGATAACTGTGGGTCAGATGCCCCCATCAAGGTAACTGTCTAATCTCTTCTTCAGGATTTCCAGAGTAGGTCATTGTACCACCTCCCTTGAGGGAACTTATTCCACAGTCTGGACACCCTGACTGAAGTCTTTCCTAACATTGAACCTGAATAGGAGTAGTGGCCACAGAAGATGACCTAACTTCTTCCCCCTCAGGTGCCCTGATGAACAGTTGCTCACTGAGCCCTTGATGTGTACTCCCCTACTGTAGTGGTAAGCTGCTACCAAGTCCCCTCTTGCTCTTCTTTTCTTTAAGCTGAAAAGTCCCAGGTCTCTCAGCCTTTCCTTGTATGTAAGACTCCAGTTTATATGGGTGGCTCTTCTTTGGACTCTCTCAAGCTTGTCTATGTCCTCATTGAAGTGTAGTGCCCAGAACTGGATGCAGTACTCCAGCTGTGGTCTCCCCAGTGAGTAAAGGGGAAGAATCTCCTCCTTGGCTCTGCTGGAGATGCATCAATTTGATGCATGCCAGAGTATTTGCCCTACTGGCTACAGCCTTGCACTGCTGCCTTATTCATACTGCAGTCTATTATTACCCCCAGGTCCCTTTTCATTCATGGTGCTAGTCAGTTGGGGAGGGGGAGGAAGAAAAGACATGACTTAAGAGGTAGAGCATAAATGAGAGAATCTGAGTTGTCTTGTCTTCCTTCCCTCTTTCCCCTGCCAACTCCCCCCCCCCCCCAAACTGACTAGCACCATGAATGAAAGGGACCTGGGGGTAATAAGACTGCAGTCTCTATTAAATTGGCCTCCCTTTTTAAGTACAGAAATGGAGGTGGTTTCAATTTTTGGAAGGCCATTATTTTCATAATGGGATAACAACTCTAGTGTAAACTCTCTTAATTTTTACAAGGCAATCTTCCATTTGTCAACAAGACTACCAGAAAAGTGGTCCTCAGAACCAGAGTAGGTAAGAACTTTAATTTTTTGTTCTTCTACTGATCCTAGCTCCCCATAGGAGTAAGTTTTATACATAGCCTCTCCCATGCTCCTTTTTTTTTCTTCTCAGATCTTTAAAGCAATGAACTTCTGCCCTGTAACTTTTTTTTTTTCCAGTTAAAGTATGTAAACTTGCATAAGCTATGGTCTTGGATCTCTTTATAAACTATACAGCTACCCAGTGGACAAGATGCTTGTGGGACTTGCATCCCCTCAAAAAAAAAAAAAAAAAAAAAAAAAAAAAAAAACTCCCCCAAAGAAGCCACCTAGAGTACACCTAAAATCTATAAACTGCTGCCTTTTAACTAGTACCAGTGTCAAAATTCAAAGGCATAGTATAGAAAGTAGTTATATTCATTTAATCTTTACCATACTGCTCTCTACTCTGAAAGGAAAGCTTCCTTATTACAGAAGTCCATATTTTACAACTTGAAGTGTAATAGCCACTAAAAGGAACCTCTTTTTGGTAGTAAAGGGAATCAACTGCCTTGCTAAAATTTTGGGATCTTGAGTCACTGAAACTAATTGCATAATCTTAAATTGCAAACATTTTTAATGCATGCCTGTTTTGGGGTGTTTTGTGCATGTTTGGTGTCTTTTTTTTTTTTAATGCTTTTAAAAAAAAAAGTTTAAAAGATTTTAAAGAGCCTGGCTACTCTATGAATTATTATACTACTTTGGAATAATAGGAAAAATAGTAAGTCTCCTACTATAGTTGTTGAATACTTGGTCACTTAATTCTTAAGCTTTTGTGTGGCTGTGTTCAGATTCTATTGACTTGTCTAGAGAAATTCAAATGAGCATTCAGTAACACTTGCAGGCTTTCCTATTTAGATGCCCACAGACTTGATCACAGGTATAACTTAAAGTAGCTACGGTATTTGTACAAAAACTAGTTTGTTTGTTTGTTTTTTTTCAGCTTGCTTTTTTCCTTTATAATGAGTCTACTTGTCTTCTCTTTTTGTCCCTCCTAAAAAGAGATCATTAAGTTATTGGAATAATTCTTACCTATTCTTCTAGCAGTTAAACTCCTAGATTTTTCATTTAGAAGTATATTCCATTATGCAGCAGCATTTCAATTTTTAACTTCTAAACAAGCATCACTCTTGCCATTTACCACCTTCATCTCCCCCCCTTTTTTTTAAAGAGGTACCAAAATTTATATTCTTTTGAGACTCTTGTACAGCATCTACAAGAGATTTTGGTACACTTATTTCTTTCACAAGTTGAAACATCTTTGCATGGGGGACCTCCCCCTGCCAACCTGGAAGTATTCCTTTTGAGGAGGGAGTTTGAAACTGGGGGAGAAAAACATCTTGTACTAACCAACTACACCTACTAACTTTTAAACTTTGCTTTCTATTTAAAAAAGTCTCCTGACTCTCACTTGCATAGTATATCTAGAGGTTATTGCATTATAGCTCAAAATAGTCTTACTCTGGTATATTAGGGCCCTTGCCTACAAGCTTGGACATGCAGGTAGAGTGGGCTGAACAGGTACAAGGGCACCAGCAAAAGCTCTGCCAGGCAGAAGCTGCTTGTCTCTAGTGCCTACTAGCTTGGGGTTGGCATGGGTCAGGTTGGGGAGGGGGGACAGGTGCTTGGCAACCAGAACTATACCTCCTATATGGAGGTGCCAGCTTGCAGAGGGACAGCAACAGCCAGGGCTTGCATATGGGTCCTACAGGCTGGATGGAATTGCCTGGCAGGACAGATGTGGTCCATAGGCTACACTTTGCCCACCCCTGGAATAGGAGGTTGTTCAAGCCTACAGGAGCTGGCCACCTTCCCATGCCTGCAGAGATCTTTTAAAAAAACAAACCTAACTCTAAGGGGTGCAAGTCACAAAGGAAACCAAAACTAGCTCTAAATTTTAAGGTGGTTTTATTCCTACCAGGAATCTTGTCTTTTATGGAAGCTTTCTGCTGTCCTCTAAAGGCTAACTTAAAGCCAGAACTAGCATTAACAAGGAGAATCCTTTAGTTTAGTGTTCCTATAAAGAAGGCCACTACTTTAATGTTCTCCCTTAACATTTTTTCTTACTTGTGGGTTTAGTGGCCAGACTACATACAGTGACAGACACCTGAGCTTATAGGGAATTAATTCCTTGTGGAAGAGATGGGTAAGAAGAAGCAACCTAATCTTCCTGGCTTGGTTTGATCATCTTGTAGCTGCTTGGCCTGTGGAAATTTAAGACACTAGCATACTCTGTTTTCAAAAAAAAAAAATGCAACAAAAAACCTGTGGTACTAATCCTTTTTTGTAGCTTACATACTACTGGGAGAAATACAGCAAAGAAGCTAATGATCTTCAGCTGGAAAGTACCAGCAAAATACTACTACTGTTATACTGAGAGCTAGGCATGTTTTTTCATTTAAATATTTGCTAAAGGTGGCTCTTTTTGTACCTACAGTGCCAAGTGATCAAATACTGAACTATTTTGCTTTAGTTTCTGTTGCCAAAGACTAGATTCACACAACTAGTAGGTCTCTTCTATCTAGTATTGCATAGGCCAAAACACTGACTGTAGACTATGTACTGGCCTATACCTGAAGAAAGGTGTTTTGTGCCCAAAGGCTTGTAAAGAGCAATTTTTCCAAGTATCTAGTTGGTATAATATTTTTGTCTGTATAAGTCCTTAGATCAACACAGCTGTAACATACCTTTTGGGTGAAAGACTCAGTTTAAAAGCCGCCTATTCAAAAGTAAGCTGTTTTGCCACCATGCAATACAAGCAGTTGGAATAAATTTTGTTTTACATAGTCTGAGGATGCTGTTCCACCTAGTACATGCACTCTCTGCATGGTCAGGGAGTTGGAGAGAGTGACTTCTAGAGGGAATAGTTAAATGAGAAGTTGGTTTGAATGCCTGTGCTAAACTGGGGAGTAGAAGCTGAAGCCATGGTTTCCCACTCCTGTACTCTCATAGTTAGTGATTTTATTCTGGTGTACTGAAGCCAATTATTCCATCCAAAAAGCAGAAGTGTAATCTGACTGCTGGCAACTTCATTCCCAATCTCTTGTAACAGTCTTCCCCTCTATACTACAACCACCATGCTCTCAAGCCTCAAGCAAAGCATTGGTCTCTTCTGATCCAGTCACTGCTTCAGCTGGTCTGGGTCACATGCTGCCTAGGCACTGAGCCAGGAACAGGTACCACATACATTCCAGTCTAGCTGCCACATGGTACCTGCTCCAGGACCCATGCTGTTCACAGTACTTGTAGGTAGTGTGGGTCTGGGGCTACAGAGGCAGTGAGTGCAGTGTAGGTCCCAGATCAGCTGGAGCATCTGCTGGATCAGGTGTGCTGGGGAGGGGAATGGGAGGGGGTCCATAAGCCAGAACCAGCTTATAGATCACCCCAACACTACCCATCTGGCCAGTCAAGCCAGATGAGTTTAATACCTCTGACCTAATCTAGTAGCTAATTGTAGTGTCTGACCCAGCTAGTAACTTGCTTTTCTCTTTAGCAAGAAGCTCATAGTTCAGGGTGAAATAAGTCTAACCCAACCTGGTGCCAAGCTAAAATATCTGTTTTTACAACCTTTCTTTAATTGTAAGGAAGCTATTGGCATCTTCCTCAGATGAGCTGTGGTGCTCTAATACTAGCTAAAAAACATTCAACAAAAGGAGATGAGTTTTGAGACTATTCAGACATGTAAGAAAAGTATACCCAGGTTAGCCTCTTACCATTCCCTCCCTCCTTCCAGGCAATGTTCAGGGACCCATGACACTGCAAGCTAAGCAGTGTCATGGAATGCAGGGAATTCTGGGAACTGTAGTTCTCTAGAACAGTAGTGGCATTCACTGCAATTAAGAAGGAACCATGGCTTTTGCTGCTAAAGCTCAAGCTGAGGGGGCAAAAAAGCACTGATTTTAGTAGTGAAATAATTGAGGTCAATTCTCCACCTTGAGCAGCAGTAAATTCCACTGATGTTTTACAAAAAACTGATTCCCAGAATATCTTGTGCCAGTATAAGCTGGTAGGGTAAGATATCCCTTCCCTGTCCTGGTACCCCTCCCCTTAGCCAGCTCCTAAGGCATGTGTCCTGCTTGTCTACTCCATCTTATGCTTAATTCTGGGGTAGCACCTTCCAAGTTGATATGAAAACAGGAATAAGATCAAGTCACAGCAGGAAGCACTATGCCCTGATTTTGGTATGTTAATACTATTGCTGTGTAATTCTGTGGATGGCAATGTGCTTGTTTCATACAGTAGTGAAAAAAACAAGTACACATTCCTTAAAGGTTCAGCTTCAGAACTGATGTATACTTCTTCCTCTGTGCATTTTTAATATTACAGTAGCCTACTGTTGCCAGGAGTCCATAAATAGTTTTAGGACTTAAATGTACAATGCCAATACTTTCAGCCTCAGTGGGAGTGTGGGGAATACTACTATTTTCTCAAAGGTACAGGGCACTAATAAACACTGCATTACCAATACTGGAAAAAGGAAATCTTGACTGACTTCCTGCTCTACCACTAGAGGTTCAGATTTAAAATGGGAACAGTAGGTTCAGCTGGAAACAAGTGCAGCATCTTATGCTGAGTACAAAGGCCATCAAGGGCAGTATGCATCTTAAAGTCTCTTGAGCAGTATTAATTGGTGGAACAAGAGTACAAATCTCCAGCCTTCAAACTTCTCCTCTACCCAGCCAGTCCTGTGGATCAGACTTAAAATTTTTTTCCTCCTAGACTAGGTACTTTTTTTTAAGTTTAAAATCTTCAATAAAAAGCAGATTTCTTAAAAAATAAGGTCATCCAATTTGTTGTGTGCAGTCAAGCCCCAAGGTGACCTATAGTTTTCTTAAAAGGTAGATCTAGATCTGCTGGAAGGCTTCAGTAGGCATCAATCTGTTTCATCATTATCTTCCGGCTGTACTCATAGGCAAGGAATAATGCACCATTGGCTGGGAATGCACGAAGCATGGTAGGCTTTAGTCCAGAATACAAAGCAAGTACTCCTGGGAAACAAAAGTATGAACCAATTAGTGATCTGGATGTTCAACTCTTAAAGTACTGATTCAGAATATTTTGCACAAGCTTACCTCCCACAGGGAAAGAGCAACCTCACTTATTAGTCCTGTTTAGAGTGAACAGGAGGCAAACTGAACCAGCTGACAATATTTCAGAGACCAAAAATTTAAGGGTGGAAACAGACATTGCCTGACACCTCTTTTGTGCCACCATAACAATTATGAGCTAACAGATGTTGCTACTGTTTGTAGGGTGACAAAAGAAACAAGTCAGTGGTATGGCAAAAGGCATTAAATAGACTTTGTTGTTTTATTATAGCAGATGTATTAGTTCCATGGTGGAAGAGTACAGACAGCCCAAGCTGCTTGTACTCTCAATTTATCTTGGGTTGGTGTTCAGGGGGCTTCAGGCCCCTCAACACCCTGAAGTACTTGCTCATTTTTCCTGCTTAGAGAGGCACTCCAGGGAATCTTGAGGTACCTCTCCATAAGCAGGGAAGTTGAGGTTCCCTTCTCAGCCAGACCCATCTTCCCCATACCCCCAATCACAGGAGCAAATCTAGTTGGGCAGGGAAAGACAGAGAGAGAGAGAAAAGATATCTTCTGTTGTCTAACACCATCAAGGATGGGACAAGGGGCAACTTGTGTTTTGCTGGAGCACCCAATGGAGGGGCTGAATAGTTGCAGTAGCGTGCAATAGGCCCTCTCCACACTTTTGATTGGGTAAGGGGACCTGGGAGTCCTATCCCTCCCAAGACTGACACAATCATCTGTTAATCTATGGGGAGGGTTGAGACTTCTGGGGCCACTCAGGTATGCTAAAATGGCAGCTAGTGCTATGCTTGGACTGCAGAAAAATAGAAGTCAAGGGGCAGCCACTGAGAATTAGGTAGGTCCCTAGCTATAAGTGGGATTTTCACAGGGGAGCTGAAGCCAAGGTAGTTACTGGATGCTAGATGTGTTAGCAGTCAGGGGAAGAGCTCCTGTCTCCCCATATTTAGGCTTCTGTCAAACCTCTTTCTAAATGAGGACTTCAAGGACTGATCAATAAGGCAATTTAACAATCTACTCCTTTCTTAGGAGCTTGAGTCTTATTTTAAAAAGATTAAAAAGGGTTTTATTTAAAGCTTCAGGAGGGAAGAAAGATTTATCTCCAAAAAAAAAAATCACCCATTTCTAAATTAAGAACATTACAAGTTATTAGTTATAAAGGCAGTAAAGTGGGTTAAATTCTCACCATTTTAAAAATGGATGGACTAAAAGACTACCTTCAGAACAAAGAGGCAAGACTAGGAGGCACCAGAGGCCAACATTTAGGCTCAAAAATCTCTCCTTTACTAGCACCACTTTTACCCCATGTTTTCCCTTCACTGTCTTTACAAAGATATACAAGTAATTTTGTTTCCCAGGACTGGGCAGTCTAAGGGAAAGGCAGAGCTTAAATTCCCCCTATAAGATGTAGCTGCTGCAGCACAGTAGAACTTGGATATTCCACAGGATCAAGTTATTTCCTTCATCCTCTTAAAATGAGGGGTATACAGAGCTTCAGTAAAGAACAGTGGCATTTTAGCCATTAGTAGTGGTTTATTTCAAAGGGTACTACTTCTTTGATCAGCTGTGCCAGAGTTGATGAGCTGTGCCTTTTTAAAAGCCAAGCTATTGGTTCTTAATTTAGCTATCTGCTGAACTGAGCAGGTTGCAAACTACCCAGATTACTCTTGTATCTATTGTACTCCAATGAAAGTGGTTTTGACCCATAATTCTGCAGATTCAGTTACACACACACACACCTACCTTCATTTCTCAGAACATTTGAAAATGTTCCCATGAAACCCGCCTGTTTTCCAGCCATGGAAAGAACCTGAATTCTAGATTTGACACAGTCTATAGGGTACACAGCAATCCATAAGCAGATGCCTCCGAAGCCACCGCTTATCATTAAAGGAATAGGACCTTAAAAAAAGGGAAGCAAGCTGTTTTGCAAGTATGTGAACAGAAGGAATGCATAGAATGTTGTGCATCACAGAAAAAATAGTTTCTTGCTGATTCTTTATATCTAAAATACAGATCAAAACTATTAACCACTGTGAGTTGTGCAATTCTAAAAAATTTCTAGCATCTGCACATTTGGAGGTGTACTTATTTCATGTACTATTTAGCTAGAAATCTGGTATTGAAGATGCATATGCATGCTTTCCTAACACTGTATTTCTAAATTTAATTACTTAATTCTAAGTGAAGCTGCCAAAAACCTCAACCTAGAATACAGAAGTCTGGTTCTGCCAATATATACAGAGATATACAGGTACACAAAATGTCAATTCTGTCAACACTATATCCAAGACAAAAGATACAATCCAAAAATCAGAGCCAATATAACTAACAGCTATAAGCATTCAAGCCAGCAGTTCTGATTCCAAATATAACAGCAAAGACACGTGTATGGAGCAAGATTCCATTGTTAGGTGATCGCTCTTTCAAGTGCAAGTACACATTTGCTTCTGGGATTATATTTTATAAAAAAAAAAAAAGTTATGCACAGCAGAGACCAGAGGGCAGGGGATTAAAACTCAAGCTCTGCATCATGGCAAAGCAAACTACTGTTGCCAAGTCCTTAGCAGGGGACAGGAAAATGAAGTTCTGACACTTCCTTGTATATGTGCATTAACTTTCAACCTTCATAATGTTCTCATAATATAGCTTATTTATATATTACTTGAACATCCTAATGTGCATTAATACTTCAGAAGAGAATTTTTTTTTTTTTAATATATGAAATTGTAATATGCCGAATCCATTGGAGAATGACAACTGTTTCACCAATCTGTGAGCTGGAACATACCTAGTTCATTTTTTGATCTCCCCGATGCAAAAAATGTCCGACTCAGCTCATATCCTCCAAAGAAGACAAAATAGCCTGGGAGTTCCCGAAGTAAAGTGCTGGACAGACCACGGTAAAACCCAAGGGGACCATCCTTTTGAAGAACACCTTTCACTACAGACCAAACTGTACTAATAGAGACAGTGAAAAAAAAAAATTAGTGACATTTAGCATTTTAACAGGTAGAATGCTAAAAGACTGTTTGCAAGTACTTCAAGTAGTACCTCTGTTTTACTATATCTTTTATTGGACCAACTGTGTAGTTGCCCTAAAAGGCTGTGCAACAGCTCTCCCTGCTATATAGTTGGCTCAATAAAAAAAAATACCATGTAAAACTTTCCTCAACATTGCCTGGACTACCATGGTTACAATAACACTCCATCCCTACTACTTTTTACATAAGGGAATAAAACCAAAACACAAAGCTAAACAAGCTGCATGTCTTGTCCAAGGCTAGAATTAGAACCTAGGAGTTGCTGGCTCAGGTCAGCCACACAGGTTTACCATTCACCTTGATGGGGAGCAGGGCCAGACACTTGGTAATGAAGTTGAGTCTGCAGGACTACACTTTTATAGAAAGTAATCTCTCTTTTGTGCAGTCAGCAGCCAATACACTTGTTAAATCAGGGATGGAATGTTAAAAGTAGATGTATGATGGCAACAGATTACACTTACTTGTGTCCTTGTGTTATCTTCCCAGATAGCTGCAATTCATGCATGGTCTGCAGTCGACACTTCACTAGTTCTGTGGGACAAAGAACCAGAGTGGCAAATGCAGAAGCAAAAGAGCCAGCAGCTGCATTCTGAAGATCACTGAAAAGACACATTACAGAAGGCATCTAAGCATTCATCCTCCTTTACCATACAGCCTATTGCATAAGCGCCAATTTCCCAAAAGCTTTAATAAAGCAAAACAGAAGGACAAAAATGAAAGAAGAATCACTTACAATAGGGGTGTCAAAAGGTACAGTCCCTGGGCCAGATCTGACATATGGAGCCCCACTACCTGGCCCCCAGTGCTGCCCTGGGCCTGGGGTTGATCCATACAAATAGCACAGTGTGCGCTGGACTGGCTGCACCTGGGAGTTGTCATGGGACACATGCTGAACATGGTATCTGCACCAGCTAGTCCAGAACATGCACAGCACCTGCCCCAGCTGCTCTGAGACAATGCAACACATGCAGTACCAGCCAGTCCAGCAGCTCTGGGGCAGGCACCACATGCAATATGGGTCCTGGACCAGCCAGAGTGGGTGCTGCATGCCAAATGTCCCAGGCCAGACCCATGAAGCAAGTTCTAAGTGTGCTGAATCTGGCCCACAGGGTTGGCCACATGCCATTCATCTGCCCTTTGGGTTGGCCATTGGGCCAGATGAGGTTGACAGCCCTGATGTAGTGTTACAGCATGATGGCAGAGAGGTTTAGTTGTTCTCGGATGCCTCCAGATTCCAGGAGTTTGGACCTTTACTCCGGAGTCATGCTGCCCCCAGCTGACCCACCTGTAAATGGGTATATTTGGTCTTTTGAGAAGCAAAGTAGGGGGAAGGCAGATGTCAAAAGGCAGCCAGATATGATGCTAACCACATCATTCAATGCTCCCTTGAGTACCACTGGCTTTTGAAGCTTTGTGCCTTAACCATAATACCGTGAAGGGCAGAAAGGCTAGAATTAAAATAGGGAAATAATTAAAAACCCAGCTTTCTCCATCTCCATGTAAGTTCAGACACAAAGAAACAGGCCCTTATCATTAAACAAAGTACAGCCTATATAGGTGAATAAAGCAGAACTTAAATACTCTATAGTTTCATTACCCAATAAAGCAATCACAAGGCCAAGCCTTTATCTAACCAGTCACAGTTCTTTAGCAACTAGGTAAAGACATTAGTATGAGAAATCAGGGGAGGAGGGAGACTAGAATAAGGAACTGAGGAGATGACAGACTGCATGAGGAGTCTAGGGCAGGAGAGGACAGGAAGCTGAGAGATAGAGACAGAGGCAGTTTTAGTGGAATCCGAGGGGAGGCTGGCCCTATGAGTCTGGGACAAGACAGACAACTGGACTGGGAACATACTGGGGTGGATGGAATAGAATGCATTAGGTCTGGGGGTGGGGAAGTGGGTAAGAATCACCCACTAGAGCATACTTCCCTCTATAGCCCAGAGTACACAAGGCTCACAAAGACCATGGCCAATAAATCTCATCCCCCATCTGCATGCATCAGCCCAAGGGGTCACAACCTACAGCTATACAGGTTAAGTGGCAAAAAAAGTCTACACAGCAGATCCCCTGCCGATGAACCAAGTGGATACCAGTCAGCCAGACTTACTCTGTGGTGCTTTTCTGCTGCTTGGTTTTTTTCCAAAACTGCTTTTGTTTACACACAAACAGAAGCAGTTAGAGGGGTCCCATTCCTTCCCCTAGCCCCATGTGCTGGAATTTGGACTGGTCCTATCCTATGCACCCAATTATAGCTCATAAAGCTACAACCCCTTGAGCTCTACACAGACTGGATGACATGGTGCTTAGGGTTGAGCAACCCCCACCCCCGTTAAAAGAACACTGGTTTGGTTGCAGAGTCAAGCAACCCAGAGTTAGTTCCCAGGGCAACTTGAATTCATCTCCAGAGTGCCTCTACATTACAATGCAGCCTATTTACATCATTACAGTCCTCCCCTTTCCCTTCATATGGCTGCTGGCTCATCAAGTGCACAGAATGAATCTGCTCTGGGGGTGTGAATTGGGATGATCTACTGTAGGGGTGACCCTGGTCTCTTCTGTTGAGGAAGCTGGAGTGTGTATAGTGAATGAGGCAGGTGACTGTGGGATGAGAAAGGGTAACCTTGTGGCAACAGCAGCTGAAATAGAATCTAGCTCCCTAAGGTACTATCCCCACTACTACCGAGTTGTTGTGTGATGCTAGTCAAAGCTCTTAAACCACACTGCCTTGTATCCTGGATGCTTGACCTGATACCCCATTGTTTGCTTTACAGAAGCACTGAATACTCCAGCCACAGCTGGAGTCAGCAGGAGCAGTGCTCCGAATATGTGAAGTGCTGAAGAACATAGGACCGGAAAGGGCCTCCTCAGCCGTTGTGTCCTGGCCTCAGCATTTGCAGCCAGTCATTTAGCTAAGGAATCCCCAAAAGCACAACAAACCTTTGTACACAAATCATTAAGAATACCCTATAAACATGCCACACTTGAAAACAGGGGTGTAACATTAAGTCCTAAAACCAAACAAGTCCCAGGCATCTCATAATCGGACACCCAAAGGTTAGTGAATACTTTTGACCTGGATAAATGTGTGCCCTAGCTCTCTCCCTCCCCACCCCCGCTTCCAATCCTCCCCTGGAAAAACAAGACTAAGATGTTCTGCACCTCCTATGAGCATGTTAAGATAAACTGGTGTTTGTGAACTGCTAAAAGTAATTTAGTGAGGATCCAAAAGGGCCCACGAGGAAGTTAGCAACTTTGTTTTCAGACCAGCATTCAGATAACACAGTCAGTAAACAAGGCACAATGATGTAGGAGTGTGGCAAGAATCTAAAGCTATAGGGTTTATCTTTGTACATTTGCTGTTTTGAAGTGCAACGTATGACTGGCCCGTTCAGATAGTCATGGATCACGGTTGGCAACAGCAGCATGCATGCCAGTGTGACACGTGAAGACATTTTGTTTGGCATGTGCGCTTCACGGAGATGGCAGGGGAGCCACAAGGGTCTAACCCTTCCCTACCATCTTTCCCGAGGTGTCCTTGCACCTGCTGCTGGCAACGAGCTGGGCCAGGGCTCTGTAGACCCCCATACAGCTGCTAGCATCCTCCCTGTTGAGAGCAACCTGGGCTCCGTGGTGGATGGCAAAGACCTGTCCAGAGCCCAGACCAGCTGTGGCAGGCAGCCAGGAGGCTGCAAGCAGATGCACCTGGGGCTCCCTGAGTTCAGTGCCTTGGATTCTTTTAAGCAAACAGCCAATGAAACTTGCTGAGAGGTGGGAGGAGTTTGTTTACTTGAAGTGTGTCTGGGTTTTTGGGGTTTTTTTGAGGGGCTTGGACCAGTGTAGCTGAATCTGCACTACTGTCTGGTGCAGCGGTATTGCACCAATGCAGTTAGCTTTGTTTCAGACTTCGATGAAAAAAAATTTCAAACTATTCAGTGCATGAGATGCATGCGGGGGTCAAAAAAGTAGTGACAATGCACTGAATAGTTTGAAATTTTTCATCAAAAGTCTGAAACAAAGCTAACTGCATTGGTGCAATACCTTGGCACCAGAGACTAGTGCAGATTTAGCTTCACTGGTCCAAAAAAAACCACCACCCCAAACCAAACCAAAAACGCAACAAAAAACCCACACACACTTCAAGTAGACAAGCCCCCCCTCCCACCTCTCAGCAAGTTTCATTGGCTGTTTGCTTAAAAGAATCCAAGGCACTGAACCCAGGGTACAGGGGTGTTTCTGTTAATGCTTTCAGGTATGCTGCCAATAGAGACCTTCTCTATTGGCCTTAGTCCAAATATTCACATGCACTGTATTTTAGACATCCAAGCACAAGGCACATGTGGAAGAAAATGGACAATTTGCTAGTCTTTTAGGAGTGCTGGTAAAATTGGGATCTGAAAGATGGGATGGAGTACACCCTCAGCAAGTCTGCAGATGGCACCAAGCTGGGGGGGAGCAGTAGATATGTTTGAAGTTAGGGCTAGGATTAAGAGAGACCTAGACAAACAAACAAACAAACAAACAAACCCCAGAGGACTGGATCAAAAGAAGTCTCGTGAAGTTCAGTAAGGACAAATACAAAGTCCAGCACATGGGACAGAAGAATCCTGTGCACCAGTACAGGCTGGGGACTGACTGGCTAAGCAGCAGCAGCTCTGTTGTCCACTGTAACCCCCATGTGCAACAAGCTGAATTGTTGTGAAGACTGCTAAGAGCATACTGGGATGCACTAGGAGGAGTGTTGCCAGCAGATCGAGGGAAGTGATTATTCCCCTGTATTTGGCACTGCTGAGGCCACATCTGGAGTACTGTGTCCAGTTTTAGCCCCCCCCACTACAGAAATGTAGACAAATTGGAGAGTCCACAGAGGGCAGTGAAAGTGGTTAGTGGGCTGGGGCACATGACTCACAAGAGACTGAAGGAAATGGGCTTATTTACATCTGGAGACGAAGAATCTAGGATTTAATAGCAGCCTTCAACTACCTGAAGGGGAGTTCTATAAAGTATGGAGCTGGACTGTTCTCAGTGGTGGCAGATGACAGAACAGTAGCAACACAGTCTCAAGTTACAACAAGGGAAGTTTAGGAAAAAACTCAAAGAGAGTAAGTAAAACACTGACACAGGTTACCCAGAGAGGCTATGGAATCTCCATCTTTTGAAGTTTTTAAAGACCCAACCAGACAAAACCTTAGCTGGGATGAGACGGTTGGGGATGTTCCTGTTTGAGCAGGGGCCTGAACTAAATGGCCTCCTGAGGTCCCTCCCAGCCCTAATTTTCTATGAAGTTCAGAATTCAAAATACCCCTGGCCCTAACTTACCTGCAGCACAAAGCATGATTAAATCTTTACGTGCTAAAACTATGCATGTTTTAGGACTGCAATTTAAAGATACTTTCCCCCAGTGACAATGAGAGCTAGATACATTTAGAAATACTTAAGACTGAAAATCCTTACTCTACTGTGCTTACCAAACTCTCAACAGACACCTACTAGTCTGATTTGGGTGGTTTTTTTGTTTTTAAAAAACACTCTGGATACTATTCTCATAGACACTGTGCTGACAAGTGAACTGCTCTTATGAAATACACTATGGGCAGCTAGATAAAGTGTGCTATAGAGTTAGCACTTACTCAGCCACAACATAGTATACAGTGCAACAACTTCATTAAAAAGAAATAAAGAAAATCAAGTAGCATTAATAATTACTGTTGACTTAATTGTACAATACATTGGAGGAATGAGATTCAGTTACTAACCTCAGCTCTGTTTTCCTGTCTAGTCCAGCAAGAAACCTCACAATTTGTTGGCAAAAGCCATAGCACATGAATAGAACAGAGTTTTCTGCTATATTGGCTACAAGTGCTGGCGTGGTTCCCTTATAGAAGCCTCGAAATCCCACTTGTTTATAGGTCTTCACAAAACAGTCGATGAGTCCTTTATACATGCCGGGAAATGTCTGCATCTTAACCTTAGCTGTGTCAAAGGGCTGGCCTGTCACCACACATGCTGTCCCACCTGAGGAAAATTTCAAGATTCAACAGCACTTTAATGATCACATGGACAAACAGTCTACTGAAGGCAAGTGTGAAATAAACCTGTTGAGGAAAAAAAAAGTCATGAAAGAGGGGACAAATTCACTGCTGGCATAAGACAGACATTTTTCACTATACCAGTGAATTTAATTCTCAGAATACTACTGAAGAAAAGTTACAGAAGTAAAAGTGACAACATTTAGGACCAGATTATAATAAAAAATAAACAAGTATCAAATAAATTAGAGTTTGGTCTCCACTGCCTACATGTAGATGCTTAAAAATCTAGGCAGCTTAGCCCCAGAGAGAAATCTAATTTGACCTGCTGCATGTGATTAGGCTCCACAGACAGTCAGTGGGAAGGACTTGGGTATCTCTTGAGGATGACTTAATTTAAACCAGCTTAGGTGCCTAAGCACTCCAAAGTATGGCAAGAGGAAGTGCTCATTAGCAGCGACCCAAGAACATGCACCAAAAGCTAGCCAATAGGAAGCAGTAGCATGGGGGTTTGCCCAGGTTCTCAGCCCTGTCCAGAGCTTTGGTGCCAACCTTAACAGGCACCTTTGTCTCCCACTTCCTGCATGATGGGCTCTAGGCCTTTCCAGCTTGAAGCTATTCAAACATACACCTCCCCCACACAGCAAGGAGTGTCTCAGCCAGCAGGCTGTAGAACAGTCAAAGCAGCACAGCTCTCCACTTTTCCTTTTGAAGTTGGGCTGATATACAAGAAGGGGCCTCACTGTAGCTTCATAGTTTCAACAGTCCTCAGGAAAAGGTCCCTGCTGCCATGACATTTCTGTTCAGGCTCTCTTCCTCACCCTGCAACCCCAGGCCAGGGGAACACCATAAGCCCCTTGCTTGAGTTAACACCAATCCTATGAGGAAAAAAGGAAAGCAAAACAACTCTTGTATTCTTTGCTGCCAATGGCTCAAGTTCAACAGGAAGGGTGCCATCAGCTGGCCTGAAGCATGGTGGTTAGGACAACATGTGAAAAACATGGATTTGGGTCAGGCTGAGGCAGGCTTAGATGTCAATCTTCCAGCTCCCTTGGAGACCACTCTAACCTACAGGTATTAAACAAAAGGAAGGCAGTAGCACCACCACTTCTTATGACTAGAGTGTAATGCATTTGGTGTAAGTAAGGCATATTCAGAAAAGGTTCAACAGGTCACATCATGAAGACTTTGGCATCTCCTCAGGACTAAAAAGGGACCAGAAGAAGGTTGAGTAGGAGCAAAGCAACCAGGTGATCAAACTATCATTTCTGAGTGTGCTCAGAAGCCCAAGTGTAGGCACCTAGTGAACTCTGCTGTCCCAAGTGGAGGTACCACCAGAGTTTTTTTGGTTTATGAGGGAGAAAAACTGGATTATTCTCCAAAGCCTAGCAGTTAAGTTCAGTTTAGACACCTACAGCATTATACCGAGTCATGCCTTTAGTCACTTGCTGTCCTAAAAACCAACCAAAAATGTATATTCCTTTGTTCCTGAAAGGTTTGAATTAATAAGACTTTATGCAACTGCCATGATACATTAAAAACAAAACAAACACCCAAGAACTACAGGGCCAAATACAAGAAAAATAACTACATACTTAAGCAGATAACCATTTCCTCTTAATGGAAGTTAGAATGCTACCAGAAAATGTTTAGAAAGTTATAACAACATGTCAAGTGGATGACTGAAGGTTTTTTGTCTCAAAGTAGAATGGAGATAGTATATCGTTTACCCTGTATACTGTACTTAGTCTCCAGATAATTATATAAAAGGGAAAACAGAAAAGATAACATTAAGCAATGTTGCTAAACTGTACTGCAAGGTCAATCTGTCAAATGCTTCACACCACTCACTGTCTTAAGGCATCACAGTACAAAGCATACAGTATTTTTCCATGAGAGCAAAGTCAGTTAGGTTATCTATAGGAGACTGAAAACAGTTAGGATACTACAAGCAGTGTGTGGCAGTGCACCTTCGGCTGCTTACCATTTTAAGGGTTGAGGCAGCCAGCTGGCAGGCACCTCATTAGGGAAGCCAGTTTAGGACCCAGCTTATAAGAGGGAGGCAGCAGTTTCTGTCATGGCCACTGGCAGCAAACATCAGCTGGCTGAGCTATGGCTCAGGAACATCCTGGAGGCAAGGGCAGGAACTACAGGGATGGCATGGAGGCTCCTTTGGTCCTGGGCATGACCTAAAACTGCACCCTGCCAGGGCAGAGAGGTCTGGTGGGCATGCCTGTGGTGGGCCAGTCTCAACTAAATGCCAGGATCACCAACCTCCCTGGTGAAAGGTGGGTAGGGGTACCTGAACCCTAGCCCCCACTATCTGGTGGGTAATCATGAGAGCTGTGGGAATAGCGGGTCCAGGTATGCTCATTTGTAGGCACCAGAGCCCAGCAGGGTTGTGAGATCCTGGAGGCCCCAGAGGGAGAAGTTGGTAACCATGGTGTGAGGTCCCTCACAGAATAGGGCCAAACTGGGAGTAAGCCTGAAGGCCAGCCCCGTGAGTAGCTAGTTGTAAGTGTAATGAGGAGACTCCAGGGTGGGAGAGGGTGTAGAGTTGGCCGGTGAGGAGGTTGGGGCAAAATGCAGCCCAGTGTTGGTCTAAGGCTATGCCACAAAGTAGGGAAAGTTGTGGGAACTGAAGCTGCTGCATGGTGGCATTAGGGACAGAGTAGCTAAGCCTGAAAGCCCCCAAGGGGTTGCTCAAGAGGAGCTAGGGCAGTGGAGCGTGGCCCAGGATGGGCAAGTATGCAAGAGGCCCCCTGTGAGAGGGGAGCAGAGTGAGAGCGAGCGAGCGAATGGAGCTCACTTATGGACTTTATTTCCCCCAGCCTGAGGCCAGGGCAAACTATCGTAATCTGGATGCCATCTGCGAGGCATGGGCCAAGGTGTAAAGCAGGTTTGGAGCTGCAGATAGTGCCCCTTGGCATTGGGGCAAGGAATGGGCAACCTCCCACTTAATAAAGTCAAGTTAACAACCAAGTTGTGTAGGGGAGACAGGGAAGACTGCCCAAGGCAGGTGAGCTGGCTGCTTTGGGATCTGGCCATGAAGTTGCCCCCCC